GACGTGACAGACAATTTCATCCAAAAAAATTCATAAAAACTGAACAAAAGTTTTACGGAGGATGCCTTTCCCTAACATGTGACAAAAATAGCTCTCAGTTTTAGGTCGGAGTATCAACAGAGTATAATTTCATTGTGGGTAAAATTTATTTTGATCAAGTTTCATAGTATTGTACAGTAGCATTTACTGAGCAATAAATTGTGCTCGAAACTTAATCAGTAAATATTACTGTATAACACCCCGAAACTTTATCAAAGTAAACTTGATACATAATAGAATTATACCCTACAACGGTGCACAAGTCCAATTCGTATATCAACCGAGTAATTTAACCACATTCTATACACGTAATTATTTAAGTCTTCTAACCCTAACAATAACCCTAATCTTTCCTGAACCTAACCCTTACATGAAAATATCCCTAAACTAACTGTAATCTTACTCGAACCAACCATAATGTCGCCCTTATTAGGCTAAACTAGCCCTAACTTGTCCTTTGCTTAAGGAGTAACTTGATCTTCCCCGAACCAAAGCTGAAATTTGACAGATATTCTATTTAATAACAGAACACTTCGGTTAGCATATTTATTGATGATGACAACATTATTTGCCAGGTCTCTCTCACTTGCTCAGTCAGCGTTTCACGGTCACTGGTGCGGTCACACTCCACTGGTAGTTAGTGGTGCTTAGAGTTTAACTTGGCCTGATATTGGAAACGTTGTGAAACGTTTTACTCCCACCAACTCAGAAAACAGCACAATTGCATGTAAATCGGGGATACCAAAATCCACACCGGTTATACTTGCAATTCCTGCCATAACTGCCCCAGACACAGAGGTTGAAGCACCAAGGGTACCTGTCGCTGGGAAAAGACCCTCACCGTCCACCAGTAAAAGTGGCCACACTACTGCGACACATAATAATACCCAATTGCACCAGACGAAACAAAACGGTCTTAAGGGGGATGACAAATGTGCGAGGACCGAACCTAAATCCACGGTCAGTCGATCAAACTGCGTTATCCTCTTTAATGTACCAGACTGTAGCAGTAGTCTGCTGGAAAACAGGGCCCTGTTTGATCAGGAACAGTGGTCCAACTTATGTAGCACACTGGGTCTGGACATCCAACCAGTAAAATTGTGCAGATTGTATAGGGGCACTGCTGCTCCTCAAGGCAAACCATCCGCACTGAGGGTAACACTAGGCTCTACCGAAGATGCCAAAAAAGTTTTATTGACTTCCCAAGTCCTTTCTATAGGGAGGACCTGTGATATGCTTGTTAGGCCAGATAGGCCATGGAAGGAAAGACAGATGGCGAGGGGGTCGCCAGAGCTTATTCCTTCTGCCTCCATGGTTGTTCACGGCATTCCCGAACTGGGAACTGGGAACGCTTGTGAGAAGCACTGTCACGATGTACAGCAATGGAGATGGTTGTCATCCCAGATGGGTCTGGGAAGTTCAGGGGCTGTCTCTATTTTTAGACTGCCTCGACCCACTCACCTAATGTCAATTAACACTCCACGTCTGTTAGCTGTTAAGTTCAGCTCCCGAGACAACTTGACTACAGCTCTCCAGAGATGGTACGAGACCAAGGACAAGGTTAGCAGACACATTCGCTGCTGCGAGAGCCGGCCTCGTACCCAAAGGAGAGAACAAAACGTTGTCATAGAACATCCCCAACCCCTAGTCACAATACAGCGGTGCAGCACGGACGATGATAGCCAGTGTCATCCAAGTGCTCCGATTGAATCAGAAGAAAAAAACGCCAACAGGCCGGTTCCCGGGGAATCGACCAACTAGTTCGTAGGATAACTCCTCAACCGACAGCCCACATCACGTCAACCACCCCCCAATACGGGGACGTGGTGAGACTGACTACCAGTTGCCTGTACAGTAATGTGAGAGGTCTAAGAGGCAAAATAGCTGAACTTAGATACCTACAATCACAGCTGAACTCAAAAATCATAATACTGAAGGAAACCTGGCTAACCCCTACGGTGGCAGACAGCGAAGTCAGTATAAATGATATGGTCCTAGTCAGGCGAGATAGGGATCTGAAAGAAGGAGGTGGAGTCGCCATATACGTCGACAAACAGCTCAGATGTGTCCATGCAATCGACCCTCCCCTCATTGAGCTCCCTGACTCCATATGGTGCCATTTCACCGTTGGGTACTGTAAGTATCTAGTGGGCAGCATTTACAGATCACCTTCATGTGGAGCAGACCACAACCAGGTACTGCTGAATGCAATTTCAGCGACACAAGTCATGGGTTATGATCAAATTGTCATAGCTGGAGACTTCAATGCCCCATCTCTTAACTTGATGACGGGATGTGCCCAGGACAGATTTGATCGAAATCTGCTGCATACCATCAGGGAGGCCGGATTCACTAGTGACCAGCTACTAGTGAAAAACGTTCAGATCACGACTCCCATAGGTAGTAGTGACCACGCGGTAATAACATTCGACATAGTCCTCCGCGAGCGTTTACAGTAGGACAATACGCAGCCCTATCCGTGTTATAACAAAGCCAATTACACCGAAATGCGAAGACTTTTGTCTGAAGCACATTGGCCAAAAAATTGGACAGAGCTTACAGTAGAAGAACATTGGGGAGTGGTAAAGGAGATCATTCACCAGGCGGTCTCAGACACTGTTCGTTTAGTCACACCAAAAGCTATGAAGCAACGTTCATGGCTAAAAAGGGGGACACAACGCCTTCTACAGGCGAAGCGAAAAGCCTGGTTTGCGTGGCGAGTATCGAAGAGTCAACCCGAACATGAAGTGTACCTCTAACTCAGGAATCGATGTAACATACGAGTCCGGAGTGATAGAAGGACATTTCAGAGGAACCTCGCCAATAAGCTCCTCGTGAACCCCAAAAGCCTATACAGGTTTATGTCTGAAAGAAAACCGACCAACCGGGGAGCTTGCAATCTAGTGGATTCTGATGGGAAATCTCTTACTAGTCTTGAAATGGCAGAGACATTCAGTCTAGCCTTTCACAGGCAACTGAACAGTAATGAGGATTTCACCCCCACAAAACACCAAGATTACAATGCAAGACCAACGTGCGAAAACCTGCTGAGTACATTTCAAATTACCCCGGCTATGGTACTCGTAAAATTGGGAAAGCTGGCTTCGGGAAAGTCTGCAGGTTGCGATGACATAAGACCCTCCGTCCTGAAGCAGTGTTCAGAAAGTCTCCGCCAGCCCCTAAGTGATCTGTTTCAACACTCCTTTGATGTAGGGAAACTTCCATGTGAATGGAAACGAGCCATCCTATCCCCTATCTTCAAGGGCGGTGACCGGCAGAACGCGACCAGTTACAGACCAGTTGCGCTACCCCCAGTGATATCGAAGATATTGGAAAGTCTCATTGACGACCACATGAGAAAATACTTCGACGGGACTAACCTACTCCATGAAGTACAGCATGGTTTCAGGAGAGGAAGATCCTGTGTGACGAATCTTCTACTAGCTTGGAACGATTGGACACTATCCTGGGATGTAAAGGTACCAGTCCATGTGATCTTTCTCGACTTTGCGAAAGCTTTCGACACAGTCCACCATGGTCTGCTCCTTCACAAAATAAGCAAAGCGGGTGTTTCTGGAGCACTTCTCGCATGGCTGGAAGATTATTTAGGCGAGAGAGAATTCTGCACCAAAGTCAACCGCATCCGATCATCCTGGCACACCTCGGCATCAGGGGTTCCTCAGGGTTCTATCTTAGGGCCGTTGATGTTTTTGATTTTTATCAACGACCTGCCCTGTCAACTGAATTGCTCTGCGCTTCTTTACGCTGACGACGTAAAGATTTGGAGAGCAATAAACTCATCAGAAGACTCCGACAGATTGCAGGCTGACCTGCAAACTCTGGGAGACTGGGCTCTGGCTAACGGAATGCCTTTCAACTTAAAGAAGTGCAAAGTAGTGCAACTTCATTCCGGCAGGCCACAGAGTGCAAATTACACCCTTGCTGGCCAGAACTTGAGTTGTGTGCCATCAGAACGCGATCTAGGCCTTATTTTAACAGAAAAGCTAGGCACCAGTGTAAATTAAACGAGGGACGTCGCCAAAGCTTCCGCTACTTTACACTTTATGCATACGTGAGGCCACTCCTTGAGGTGCATAATATCATTGCTCCTCCGCTACTCAGAAGGGATGCTAACATTCTAGAAAGTGTCCAGAGACGAGCGACAAAATGGGTGATCGGCCTCCGCAACAAATCATATGAGGAAAGACTGAAGAAATTAAGTCTTTTCACACTTAGTTACCGTAGTCACAGGGGAGACCTCACCCTAATAAGAGCATCCTGCCATTAAGTGATTATAGGCTTCCACGAGGTAACCCGCTAAGGATAGCACGCCAGAGACCAAAGACTCTAGTGCGTTCACATTTCTTCTCGCTTCGAGTTTGCCGTCTCTGGAACGCCTTACCGGCGGCCGTAACTACAGCTCCATCTGTGGAGACTTTTAAGCGTAAGCTGGACAATCATGCAGAAATGCATGGTTTGTGTCTCAATGGCTTATCCTCTTAAAATTTGAAACCACATTGTCAATGGATAAGCATACAAGCTAAATCCCCACGACCCGTCCTGTCTTCTCCCACTGTACCGACTACTCTATCTTTTCTTTTCTTTCTTTCTTTATTATTTCACCTTTGTTATTTCACTTATCTCAACCTATATTATCTACACTACAACCTATTATTATTATCCTACTTTTATGACTACACCGAATGACCAACGGGTGTTAGGTCAAACTTTATTCACGGCAGCAGCTGAGTCCTAACATACTGCACACTACAAACCACAATCTTGACCAATCCTCGCACCATTCCTCTTGGAGTCTACCAGAGCTAAAGCAGTCGAGTGGCGGGATTTACTACGCATAAGTTCACCGAAGATCTGGAACCTCTACCTTACAATCAAGAAGCGAGCTCAAAGAAATCACTGGTTTATAGTAGCTCGTAATCAGGATATTGGATATTGGATGTGTGGATTGGTTGAATTGAAACTCTACGTCAAGGTTAAGTTGTAGTAACAAAGTTCTCTCGACGTTTCAGTCACCAACAAATTTCAGGGCAGTGTGATTTGTAAAATCACGTATCCTTCCAATTAGATTGTTTTACCTCTATGCATTATGTAGAACATGTCATGCACACGTTATTTTGTGTGCAAAAATTCCTCAATTTTATGATTGATCAAGTCAAGGTCACTCGTACATTCGCATCCTTGGGACGCTATTGTTGAACTTTGCTGTTTTTTTGCGTATAGCATTTGTAAAATGAACATATTGGATGTCTTGTAAAGCATATTGTTATCAGAATATTCAGAAACACTTCAAGACGGGTTGTTGTTTTCTTATAAACCGCAGAAATTTACTAGAAAAGGATTAACATAGGCTACAAGCCTTCTATCCTCAACCAATAAATCTCAAATCTCCCGGTGACTTACGTAAACGCTTTACATGGATTTCTTTTAAATTACCCAAGCTTAAATAATGCTGAATTAATGATCGGAAATACTGAACTGACTCTGTTTGTCTGTCTCTAGTGAGTAAATCCTGAAATGACTTCAAACTGCTGGCAGAATAGTACTTTATGGTGTTTGTCCAAACTACTCGCACTAATTTAACACAGTATGTCTTTATCCAGTACTACTTGTCATAGTTAAGCGTCTGCTGGTATTCTTCTCAACGTCATTTCAGCTCTATCAGCTCCGATTTAGCATTATTTCAGCACTTGTCTCACTACTTAAGCATCCAGTGGAACTTTTAAGCACTACCCTCATAACTTCAATACATACTTGGTTACTTTTAATCACGCAAAATATCCATTTATCATTAGACTGTATGATAGAAGCATAGTTCAGAATAAGCTTAGTATTATTGTTAGCATGAGATAACACGAATAAGTTCACCACACAACCTGTCCTCGACTAAGCAAAGCATAGAATTCTGAATTCATAGACCCAACCGGATTACTAAGTAATTATCATATTGAAACAACAGTCGTAGATGAAAAGGCCGGTGTGTTAGCTGGCATATTTTGTTTAATAAATTTGGGGCCACAGTGGTCGTTAATGTTACAGCTAGTGGTCTCCTAGAGGTATAGTTCAAGGAGCCAGATAAAAGACATGCTGGTGTTCTCCAGAAATCAGACATTTTCTTCAGTGGGTCATTAAATGTGCTTCTTACAATGTACCAAGTAAAATCACCACTTACTACCTGTAGACTTCTTTTAAAGCAGCATAGTCACGAGTTTACGATGATGTGTAGAATGGATTGATGATAATTAAATTTCTCTCGTACATCAATAGCACGGAGCCAGTAATGATAATCATTTGTTACTAGTTTATTTATTGCATTAGATAAATGTAATAGTGTCATGAGCAAGGAGGGTGAAACTGATGTTATTTACCTGAATATTTTCTTAAAACATCCAACCGTGATAACTGTGATCACTTTTTAGATAATTAGGTGTGATTGACTGGATCTTATCGTATTTGTTTGATCACGTGTTTAACATAAAAAAAATTGATGTCACTTTGGGATTCTTCGGAATTCAGTTTCAGGATTTCTCTTCCTTTGTAAACGTATACTAAGTGTACATCTAGCTTTCTCAGGAATTCTCCTTATTGTGGATATACTACTGTTTGAAAGAATAAGGACCGTATGCAAGCACTAATGGATGTACATTTTAGTGGAACAAGAGCATAGTATCCAACAACAGACAAGGCGAGTATCACCAGTACAAATTTAACGAAATAAGCCTCTTATTGTGAATAGTCAGAAAGGATTTAAAAATTTTATTTCCCATGTGCTTAATTAATATACTTGCTATGAGGACATTTTTCTCACAATATTGTTGCTTTTCATCCTACCACAAATCTTTAGACAGTTGAATTCCAAGTGTTTGAATTATTTTCATACGATCACAGGCATCGTCACCATAAGCCTCAGATCTAGGTTTCGTGCCTGGTGGCGCTCGTCAGGAAGGCGTGTCTACAACCTTGAAGGAATTCGTATCCCTCCTGGTTTTTTTTGTACCTGTGTCACCCAGTGCTGCAGTCAGAGACATTACCACTGAGCTATTCGGGCTCGCGGTTGACCTCCTGTAGGACTGTATTAATACTCAGATACTAGTTAGTAACCAGTGTAATGTGTCTAGTCCTTGGTGTTGGTACAGACTGGATTCTATCAGTCTGTCAGGTTGTAGATACGCCTTGCTAACGAGTGCCTAGGTTGAAGACTTCCTGCCGATTGTCTCCAACCAACTACTATCAACAATTCAGGGTGTACTGTGATGGCGAGCCACCTAGCATGATGACCACGTTTCAAAGTTGACTGATGAAATTCAGTCTGCAGTAAACAAAGGACTAGACAAATTACACTAGTCACCAACTACTGTCCAATCAAAGACCTATAGGAAGTTTACCGGGTTTCAAAGACTGAAGACTACAATGTAGCACAAACAAAAGGGAGTGTCCATTTTATGTCTTTTAATATACAGAACTCTAGAAGGTGATTTCATTATGGTGTATAATACCTCCACCTATCCGACTATGCATGTGTGAAATTTCGAATTAAAGAGGCCTAAATATTTGATTTCTTCAAGTTTCGCGCTTAAAGTGGCCATTGGCTGAGTTATTCCACTCCTGTAATATTATCCTACATTTGACAAGCAACAACCAAATGCTTAACATGCTCAGATTTTTACTCAGAATGTTCAAAAGGCTGCATTTTGTCAGCGATTCCACCTAAAACTACTATTGTTTAACGCCATTAAGTTGCATAAAAGAAAAGAAGGCGTTCAGCGAAGAGACTCTTTTCGGTGAATTCATTCACTGAGCTTTACAGTCGCATATATATACAATTTTGTTTGTGTGTGTGTGTACATTAGATTTATAAAGTTTAGATAATTATGTAATATAAGTATTATTTGGCTTGGAAACAAACGTTAAGATAGAAAACAAAATAGAATTGATTAAGTGAATTGGATGACGTAATACAATTGAGTAGAATTCAGAGTAGGTCAGGTTGGCAACAGTGTTAATGAGTAGTGGTTAAAATTAAATAAAGGTGGGGTTAGAGAATAATACAGTTGAAAATTAAGTAAGTTAATCGGATGACGTAATATAGTTGACTAGAAATTGGACGTGGGTCGAGTTAGCAACATTGTTAATGAGGGTAGAGATTACAAAAGGGTGGGGTAGAGAATAATACAAATGAAGATGTGAAATAATAAAATGCAAAAGACAAAATAATACAATTAGTAAGACTGAAATTAAGAAAGATTACGTCCATTGTAGATTTAATGAATGAACGAATTTCTTTTGTATGCAGAGTTCAGGATTTAGCAGATGAATTGCCATTGCTTCTGCGATGTGCAGAAGTTTGATCCGTACACTTTTAGCAAGATTGCCTTGTATTCTGTAGATAACTTTGAAGTTTATTTCTGGTTTGACTTGGTGTCCAGAGTCGATCAAATGTTCAAGGATCGAGCTGCGGGGCCATTAAGTTGCCCTATGTTCCAAATCCTTTTGATTAATGCATTAAGCAGTTTTCTCCAAGACAAACTTACCTATGCACATCCTGAATAGCACACTAATTATAGGTGAATTAGAATGGCGATAGTTTAATGTTGAACCAACACGGTACACACTGAAAGCCAAAATAATATTGGGTGGTAGGATTTTGCAAAACATCTCGTCTTGGCCTTATGCATCTATCTAGAATGTTAGTTCAGTTTCTTTACTTTAGTTAAGGAAAACTCTTCCCAGACTAGGTCATTTTACATTTGAGATGACATTAAGAAAACAATCTTTATAAGCAAAGATAGATGCAAGATTAATCCGTTTGAGTACATAGACGGACATAATTTTTTTTAAGTTTTTATTTCTGATTACAGCTTGATTTCACACCGTATTTTTTGGTACAAGTATGGAATTTTCAGCATGTGATATCGGTAGCCCAATTTTGCAGGTCGACCATAGATATCGGTTGTGCGTCGGCAGGTGATCGAACCCGGGACCATGTGCATGGTCGGCGAGAGTCCTAACCACTGTGTCACCGACGCACAGGTAGAATACCAGCCGTATGTAGTTTACAGTGACCAAAAGAGATATCCTAATCGTTTGAAAGTGTTTTGTAACCAGAGCACCTCTTAAATACTCCGTCGTTTTACCGCTAAAAGTGTCCAAATTTTTAAGTGTGTGTGCGTTGGTGGCACAGTGGTTAGGACTCTCGCCGACCATGTACATTGTCCGGGGTTCGATCCCCTGCCGACGCACAACCGATATCAATAGTCGGCCTGCAAAATTTGGGCTACCGATATCACATGCTGAAAATTCCATACTTGTACCGAAAGTACGGTGTGGAGTCAAGCTGTTTAAAAAATATAAATGAAAAAATTGTCACTGAAACCAATTGTATAGTTTGCAAAGTAATTTAGGGATTGACTTTTTGTATTAGAAGTGTTGCGAATGCCGATTAAACCACACAATCAGATGAACTCTACTGGCTAAGACACGTGTTACCCATGCTGACTTGCCACCTTCCGGATAAAGGATGAAGCTCGAGAAGAGTTACGGGTGATTAAACCAAAACCTGGTAACAATCAATGAAGTCTTTGGTAGTCTAGTATGAGCCAGCCTGGTTTATAGATGTAGACTGCTTGGGGATGTTAGGCGCCAATCGCTTGAGACTGTCGTGAATATAACCCAAAACTGTTTCCAGTTTCCCAAATCCACTAAGAAATCCTCACGTTTCCTCACATCACTATTCTTTCTCTCGCATGCTTTCGCTCATTTTAGTTCTTTCTGCCTTTGTATGCCACATAAACTGTGGCAACTTTAACTGGTCCATCTCTGTGTAGACTTCTATGCTGAAACTCAGACAGTCATCAGATAAACTTTGCTGAATGTTATTTATGTGTTGACTCGAGGCATATAAAAAGTATATACATGTGGGCTATTTCTAGACAGTTAATTACTCTTCGCAAGAGCATAGACTGGCTGGATTCAACATAGAACTTGGAACCGAAGTGCAGCAGTTCCAGTTGCCACGTTCCAAATACCACACAAAGCTAGATAAGAAGATGAGTGAAGAGAACCAATAGAGTTTCGACAAGTATGAGAGTGAAACAGAATGAGTAATGGTAGAAAGGAATGTGAAAGATTACAGAGACTGAATACATCTGCGTAAGCCATTGACAGCGATTTTGAGCCATGTCACCTATTGTCTCCAGCCATTGATTCTTAGAGTCCCGAGGGCGGGCCGGGCCCCAACCCGGAAGTCTGCATCTCCCTCCTTACCTGACTCAGTTTAACTGTCAAGGATTTCATGGATTGATGAGGTCATGTTTTTGTTTGGCCGCCACTTACTCTTTTCCAACATGCACCTATATCAGCTAGTAATGCCCGTCCGTCGGGGGAGGTGATGGTTAGGCATGCGCAGCACCTGACCTAGCCATCTCAATCTATGTAGCTTCATAGCCTCGTCCATTGATTTTCCCTCTTTGCCCAACACTCTACGCCTAACGTCAACATTACTTACCTTATTATACCACCACCTAACGTGAGAAAGAGATCGTAGACATCTATGATCAAAAACAGTCAACCTTTTCATGTCTTCAACTCGTATTGGCCATGTTTCAGAGCCATAGAGGAGAAGGACGGAGCGAACTGCTGAGCAGTAGTACACACGTCCCTTGGTTGATAGTCGGATGTCACGCCTACGCCAGAGATGGTATCAGTTAGCGAAAGCAGCTGGAGCTTTTTGGATCCGTGCTGAGATTTCGTCACCAATCAATCCGTTGGGGCTAATACAACTTCCCAAATAGGTGAAGTGGTCAACATGTTCTATCACTTCACTCCCTATCACTAAGCTAGGGGTAGAGGTAGTCCAGTCAGTCCTGTAGAAGCATCTTACATTTTACAGGGGCGAATCGCATGCCAAACATACGAAGATTGCTGCTCATAGAAAGAAGGATTTGCTTTGCTTGGACACTAGGTAGTAACTAATCTGCAGTCACAGTATCGATTACAGTCCCGAAGAAGGCCCATCAAGAGCCCGAATAGCTGCTCAGTGGTAACATCTCTGACTGTGGTACTGGGCGACCCTCGTTTGAATTTTAGATAGATACGTCTTGCTGATTGGTGAATACCAACAAACACAAAATCGTGGCCCATGGCTTCCTCACCATTGCCTCGAACCATTTAACAAAGAAAAACCTGGTAAACCCTCGAACACTTTATTTTTTAGGAATAATCTCTGTCATACACTGACTGACTGGTTTCAACACAGAACTCTACACAAATGTCCACCAGTTCGAGTTCCCTCTCTCTCTCCCTCCATGTAGCACACAAAGCAAGAGATAAAAAGAGTAAAGGGAGGTTCGAAAGACAGATAATAAACAAAAGTGTCAGTAGGGGAAAAACATTATAGTACTATGGAAGAAAAATATTTTTTGATCGGATGGCTGTCATACAGCTTACTGAATTGTATCCTATAAAGTATCAAAAATAACTTTGTTATTTATTCATTAGCCTTATTTGTTTCTGTGTTCTGTTTCTAGAATTCGACCATCTATACCCCACCTCCATTTCTTCTGTCAACTTGGATTCAATGCCATTAAAATATACTAATCACTGAATAACCAAATTGTGTAGACACATTCCTGCTTTTGGGAATGAAGTTCAAAATCTTCAAAGAAGCCATTTGTACTATTATCGATACAGAAATAAACTGTTCATGTGATGAATGCGAAAAGCGTAAATTGTGTAGTGGGATAACATTCTTTATTTTAAAACATAAACTATGGGTTGAAACTATATCCAATACTGAATTATATAAAAGGCTAAAGGTTTGATGTGTATAGTGTGTGTTTTCGATAATAGTTGCAGATGCTTAATCCACAATTTGAATTTCAATTGGATACACTTCGACAAACAGTTTATGATTGTATTACATTTGGAGAAGTGCTGATTAATGATGTTCAACCATCTGTTGTCACTGATGCCGCTGCTGCTGCTTCTGGTGGTGATGATGATGGTGGTGGAGATATGTGCAATGTTTGCTTTCAATATCATCTTGGCGAATCTATTCTAAATTGGCGGATAACTGCTGTTGTCCCTAGTTCATCATCTGTGGTAGTCAACAATTGAAAATATCTATCTAAAAGTGATTCATTTTTAAAATTTTCTTTAGTTATATTACCACATTATCTGGCCACTTTCATTGGCATTTGAATTATTGAATAAAAAACAAGCTAAATTAAATAATAAATTGGCAATACTTGAGCGACACACAAATCGACTACATGAAAAATTAATGCTACCAGGTAAACTACACTTGTGCTTATTTTAACTCATCGTTTAGTATCTACTATTGATAATACAGAAGAAGAAAGCACAGATAAGGTTAGTGATTCAATTGGTTTAAAGAATATCTGTTTTAATACATTACCCTGATAAATTATTCAGAAAGACATCTCTAGCGTAGGCGTGACATCCGGCTATCAACCAAGGGACGTGTGTACTACTGCTCAGTAGTTCGCTCTGTGCTTCTCTATAGCTCTGAAACATGGTTGACCGGTTTTGATCGTAGATGTCTACGATCTCTTTCTCATGTTAGGTGGTATAATAAGGTAAGTGATGTTGACGTTAGGCGCAGAGTGTTGGGCAAAGAGGGAAAATCAATCGAAGAGGCTATAAATTTACATAGATTGAGATGGATAGGTCACGTGCTGCGCAGGCCTAACCATCACCTCCCCCGACGGACATTACTAGCTGATATAGGTGCAGGTTAGAAAAGGGTGAGTGGTGGCCAAACAAAAACATGGCATCAATCAATCCATGAAATCCTTGACAGTTAAGCTGAGTCAGGTAGGGAGATGCAGACTTCCGGGTTGGGGCCGGCCCGCCCTCGGGACTCTAAGAATCAATGGCTGGAGACAATAGGTGACATGGCTCAAAATCGTCGTCAATGGCTTACACAGATGTATTCAGTATCTGTAATCTTTCATATTCCTTTCTACCATTACTCATTCTGTTTCACTCTTATACTTGTCAAAACTTTATTGATTCTCTTCATCACTCATCTTCTTGTCTACCTTTGTGTGCTCTTTGGAACGTAGCAACTCCAACTGCTGTACTTCGGTGCCAAGTTCTGTGTTGAATTCAGACAGACAGACAGACAGTCAGAAAGTATGTAGGGAAATGTGAAAATAAAATAAATAATGATAGTAGTGATAGTGATAATAATATTAATGACGACATGCATGTCAAACATGCGCCAGATAGTGACAACACCAACAATAAGGAATCTAAATCATCAGTAGTAATTCCATACAAGGAAGGAACCTCGGAAACCTTACGGTGGAGAATTCGTAACAATGCAGGCAGGAATAAAAGTGACTGGCATTTAAACCCACAAACTCAATTAGAAAAAAATGTGTCGGTTAAAACGATCCTGTGGGGCTTTTCAAACAAAACAATTTAGTTTATCTAATACCCTACCTGCAATGATTGTTAGATGAAAGTGTTAGAACATAGGCAGTCAGACTAGCCGAGCACAAAAACCTAGCGAAATCTAGATTGGTTGACCCGAATAAGATAAGAAATCTAGAGAATAGTTCAACTGTCACACTCACTACAGGCAATTACACACAACCATACAATAAGATGATGGGATGAGATGACATTTTTGAAATCTAATGTCACAGGGTGGAGGGAGGGATTGATGACAGCGGAAGCTTTGTTTATCGAATCATCTACAAATACATGTAATAGGAATGATTCAACACCTGTCCATCCAGGTATCTGGAAAATTCTACTACCCCGATGACGACAAATAGGCGAGAATAAAGAAAACTATAAAACTCAAGTTTCGAAGTTGTGTGACTATAATTGATATGATTATGAACGCGAATAAATTGTGTTCGAAACTTTGTCATCCAGTAAATACTAATACTGTTTCACTGTGTGATACATCTAATAAACAAACCCCCGACCGAAAGCTGCTACCTTGATGTGGTGGTCGGGCTTGAACACCGCAATGACCCAACAAGCTATACTATCTGGAACTTATGTTCCTGCAGGTCCTACCATGCCAGGAAGGTTGTTTGGATAGCGGTTAGACTAAAAGCAGTTACCCAATCCAATCCTATGACTTCAAATAAATCACAAAATATCATGCCGGATCGGTCGAGGCCCGGATTAACAACGACCGCGCTTTCTGCTGCCGTGTCACAGGGCAGAAGTGATAAATACTCTACTGAGACACACCAAATAAAAAACAACAAACAAAAACAGGCCGTGTGTGACCGGCCTCAAGCAGTTGTCCCCTGGGCAACCAACTTCCACGGTGTGGGCAGCCGGGAAGTAACAATCGCCCTCACAACCCGAAGAGCACGCGAAACCTCTCTATTCCTCAACCCGAATAAACAAACTAATATGGAATTACTTACTACCACAGTGCCCAAGCTTTACACATATAAGAATATCTGTTTGTTTCCATGTGTTGCTTTCTGGGGATTTGATCACCAACCGATTTCAGAATTTCATTTAACGTCTGCTAGGAAATAACTAGTGTCATGCGTCTAGTTTTTGTTGGTTCTATCAGTCAAGTTTATAATGTGGCCACCATTCTAGAGAGCTCACCGTCATGATGCACACAGAATTGTTGTCATTAAATAGTTGGGGGCGATCGGCAGGAAGCCTTCGATCTACATTTCGTGCATCTACCAGTCAGCAAGGCGTATCTGCAACCCTGAAGGTATTTATGTTCCGTCTGAGATTCGAACCTGTGTCACCCAGTATTGCAGTCAGGGATGTCACCTTATGGAACTATTTACTTACCAGCAAGTGTTTCATCAAAGTATCTTATACGGTCCTATAGAAGGTCAATCGCTAGGCCCAATAGCTCAGCGGTAACGTGTCTGACGCTGCAGCACTGAGTGATCCTGGTTCGAATCTCAGGAGACGAGACCTAGGTCAGATTGCGTTTCCTTACGACTACCTCCAACCATCTAGTAAGAACCGATTTCAGTTAGGAGGCTATTTAAGAACAATGTGTTATTGGGTATCTGTTTCGTCCTTGCCTGGGACTCATCAATGGCCCTCAATCGTGACCTTGACAGGCATTAAACCCAAGGCCTCTGTATTACAGGGGGAGTTCGTTGAGCATTCAGCTACTGGTATGGAATCGAATGGTCTATCATTTCTAACTTCTGCCAATTCGCGATATATATATATATATATATATATATATATATATAGTGCCACTGCGAGCCAGTGTATTTTTCCTCACACTGAACATTGTTAATCCTGCTGATCACGACTTCTTACCAGAAATTCAGCAACTTCACCCTTTACTCAGTCACTGGTGAGCACTAGTTTCCAAGTGTGGCTTCTCAGGGATTTGATTGATTTTTTTAGTTTAATTATTAACTGATTTCAGTTATAGAACTATTGAAAATCAGGTATTATTGGACAGCTTCTTTTATCCTTGTTTGAGACCACTGAGATCAATAGGAGTTGATGTTTAAGGCAATCGGTGTGATGTCCTGGACCTAAGTTTTGTGCTTATTGTGACACCCTTCAGCAGCAAGATATATCTGCAACGACTGGTGTCCCCTTATGGATAAGATTTTATTCGGATAAATCACACAGTGTTGTTGTACAGTAATATTAACTGATGACCACGTTTCGAGCACAAACTATAGCCACTCATAACCATATCAAGTCTGCTTTGAGATTCGAAGCTGCGTCACACAGTACTTCAATCAGAGATACCTTACCACTGAGGTTTTTGCACTGACAACTGATCTCTTGTAGGACTGTAATGGATACATTAACTGGTCACTAGAGATTAACATTTTGGTGTTTTGGTTGACTGTATTCTATCAGTCAAGTTTACACCATCGTCAACAATTTCCAGATGACTGTCTATCACGGTGTTAGATAGATATTAGAATCAAATTGAATTCAGTATCATTCTTTAATATCAGTAGTCCAAAACTATAAGGTGTCGAAATCATTGATCTTAAGATTTGAAAATAAACAAGCTTAGTGGAAAATGGTGTAGTTCTTCTTCATTCCTATGAGCTCCGTGTAAAAAATAGGGCGTCAAGTTTTGAAGTTTCAATAGCGGTGGTATTTATTTTTTCGGGGTAAGGTTGCTAGCCTCATGCTCAACCTTCTCTCTTTACAGAGTTTACTACTACTGGCTAGGCGAGGTTTAGCAGTGTGTCGGTTGGGGATCGAACTCCGAACCACGCGTGAGGTGTGGTTGACGTGCATTCTCCCATTGAACCACCGGTGGACAATAACATCCTACTACCACTTTTTTCTCTGGAGGATGGAATTAGCTTGTGTATTGGGGATAAGTATACATATTGTTGCATTTTGATGGGGGTGGGGGTGTGTGTTCCGAGTGGAACGTAGGGCTTCAAATAAACATCTTTAATTTCTCCTATTTTCTGCCGTCCTCTTCAGCTGGGTCCACGATTGTCTGTAATCTCTCATCTCCTCCTCACCCCACAATCTCCATGTCACCCTCGCACCGACGACACACTTATCGCTTCCCATTGGGAGGGATTCTACTCAAGCGATGGCCTGCATTGTGCACGATGACATTCGACGGCCTCCTCAGTGGCGTATTCCCGATCTGTCTTTATTTTCTCCTGCATATTTGTTGAGCAACCGGCTCTTGATTGGTCTTGTTGCCAGACAGAGTTTCTTGTTGCTAATTCTCTCTGGGGATAGTAACAATAGTTGGTTCATGGACCCATTCCAGTCGTATAGGTAGCCCGAAAATTTCGTGTAAACAGGAAGGACAAAGTTAAAGAATAATAATAATAGTAATCCAAAAGATCTAGAACACGAACAACCGTGAATTTGCCTATCTCACTTGGTGTATGTGATTATGCAGGTATAACGAAGAAATCAAGTTTCATCACTGATAAAAAATGCTATTGAAAATTTAAGGGGAACAGTACACATTAGATGCTATAGTCAAGTAATCTTGAACCAAGTAGTCAGATCACTTAAGATTACAAAAAGATGCATTTCATGTTCTCCGTTGGAAGTTTCACCCTGATTTAGAGTTAGGGTAACAGTTGAGGTTAGTTTAGGGTTTGGGTCGGGGTAAGGTTAGGGTATATATACATATATATAAAGTAGGGTCAAGGTAGAACTTTCAAAGAAGATTATGGACAGAATCCATTTGAAATGTTGAACGTTGTGACTATCGTCATCAGGATATATTTCACCATTCATCAAGATTAGTCAATCACAAAACTGGTTGCTATTCATACAAATTTTACGGAAGGATTTTAAGCATATCAAAAAATGTTGTGTCTTTAACCACTTCTATTTAAAAAAAAATGAGACCTGCAAATATATTTCACTTGGAAGAACATGATTGGTTAGTTCCAAGGTCATTCGACTGTGGTATCTATTGTTTACTGTTGCAGATTTAAGGAGTAGCTTTAATCTGGAAAAGGTGTCTAAAACTAAATCTGAACTTCATCTTCTATCCCTAACGTTAAATTCCATCGTGTATCTGTAGTCCCTGAACTTGAAACGATAGTCATTAAAATGAATATCAGCATTCTTATGAGAAACTGAGAAGGAATGGAATGCGAGAGAGCACGGGTGACCTTGAGCCGGTCAGTCAAGATATACAGTGGCTTTTGCGTAAAAATGACGTTCATGTACAAGAGAAGGACATGAAATCATATTAAACAGGGTATATTTCTCTGACATGACCTAAAGTTACTTCAAGATTATAATGAGAAGTATCAACTTTTAAGTTAGACCAGTATTTGAGCACAAATTCACCGAGGTGATTGAAGATAAGTTCTCATTTTGACCCATTTATCGCCCTTATCCTGTTTTTCAGTCTTCTCCAAAGGACACCCATTGAATTGGTATGAGTTCCAGTAAGAAGATCGACAATTATTTACTATTTTCAAGTATTGGTTTTGTAGGGATTTTTTTGTTTGTTTGATTGGTTGGAGGATTTCATGATGTCAGCTCATGATGAAATCCTCCAACCAATCAAACAAAAATCCCTACAAAACCAATACTTGAAAATTTATCTGATGCTCACTAGCGACTGGCCCTATTCAGGCAGTTAACCTGGGGTTCTAGTAGGAAGCCGTGACCAGTAGGGTACAGCAGGTCAAAGATGAGGCAGTAACTCATCGCAGAAGACATTGCGAAATGGTCGCGCTATGTCGTGAATTGGCAGAAGTTATAATTCAAGGACCATTGGATCGGGTCCCAGTGGCTCAATGGTCTACGAGCTAGTTCGCCTTGTAACCAGAAGGTCCTGGGTTCGAACCCCGATGGGTGCGTACTGCTGAGGAGTCCCAAACTAGGACGAAACAGCTGTCCAGTACTCCCAGTTGGTTTTCCAGTGGTTCTCTAACTGATATCAGCTCATGATGAAATCCTCCAACCAATTATTTACTAGTAAGATGCGGATAATAAAAATAAATAGTACCAACCGCAAACCTAATCTTAACCGTAACTCTAATCATGACCGTAACCCTAACGAGCTATTAATACACTGTCCAAACAGTACTTAGAAACGAGATCGGGATGAAATTCGTACCTCGATTCATGCACAGCGTTCATGGTAACACTATAGTAATAGTAGGCCTAGTTATCCAATGAATAGTATGCGTTCAAGGTTATTGGAGTGTTCGCACTCCTGGACCGTTCGTTATACTTTAACTTGTCTACTGGGAGTTATTTTCTGCAACATTTTAAATTAGAGAAAGTGTTTCATATTCTTACACATATTCTTTAAACACTTCTCGTCTTGAATATACCGCTTTTTCAGTCTGAATTAGCCAGCTTTAATCTGATTGGTCGCATCAAGGTCATCGGGTAGGTCATTCGCTAGAACCACCAATTAATTATATAAGTGTCGATACACATGAACGGCAAAAGTGAATTAAGTCAATAACTGTTTCTTTTATTTTTATTTTTTTTATGAGATAAATTATTTCCTGTTTATGTGTGTGTGTTTGTGTGTGCGTAACATTTTCATTTTTGTTTTTTATTTTTATTATTTTGTTTCGAAAAAAATAAACAAACAGGATTTAGACATCACGCATAATCTTTCCAACAGTTTGTTATCATCGCCAGTTACACAGAATCTTTTCTGTGAAGCATCCAAACAATTGTTTACGCTGAAAAGTATGTTGTGATAAAAAAAGTATTTATGATTATTATTATAAAAACAAGAAACTGCAGAGAATATTCCAACTTCTCCGACAAAAACATCATCGACGTGTAGTAGTAGTAGTAAGATGATAACAAAAGATTCAATGACAGCGGACGATTCGGTAAGCTTTACCTTGAGTAACGAATATAACTTTGTTTATATGTTTTCTTCATGTGTTCGTTCACTAATTTAGTATACCGTAAGTTTCTGTCAAATATGTTCATAATCTGTGAGTAAGGGGAAAGAATTGGTGGCAGGGAGGGGAAGGGAGTTATTCACAGTTTTCAAAAACTGCGAACGATTTTGAGTTATATCACCAATTGTCTCCAGTCGCCATTGGTTCATACCCCATCTCGAGGACACCGATCTCATGAAGCCGATACCTCTCTATGCGGCTCAAAATAATTTTCAAATATTGGTTTTGTAGGGATTTTGTTTGATTGCATGGAGGATTTCATCATGAGCTGACATCAGTTAGAGAACCACTGGAAAACCTGGGAGTACTGGACAGCTGTTTCGTCCTAGTTGAAGATGAGGCAGTAACTCATCGAAGAAGACATTGCGAAATGGTCGCGCTATGTCGTGAATTTGCAGAAGTTAGAATTCAAGGACCATTGGATCGGGTCCCAGTGGCTCAATGGTCTACGAGCTCGCCTTGTAACCGGAAGGTCCTGGGTTCGACCCCCGGTGGTGGGTGCGTACTGTTGAAGAATCCCAAACTAGGACGAAACAGCTGTCCAGTACTCCCAGGTTTTCAAGTGGTTCTCTAACTGATGTCAGCTCATGATGAAATCCTCCATGCAATCAAAATAATTATCAAAGATTCTGTGAACAGATTTCATGTTTTGGTTTGACCACCACTAGCTCTTTTACAACCTTATCTATCCTATATCAGTGGCTAACACATTGATCGTCGAGGAAGGCGATGGCTAGGCATACGTAACAAACACATGCCCTAGCCATCTCAATCAATGCAGCTGCTTCACAACCTCGTCGATTGACTTTCCCTTCTTGCCTAACACTCGACCGATGCCTAACCTCAATATTACTCATCCTGTTATACCACTTAACAGACAAGGGAGATAGAACGCAGCAGACCCCTATGACGACAACTAGGTCGAGTTAAACTTTAGGCGCCAGTAAGTATCTATGGTGTGTGACCGCAACAATGACATTGCAATGCTCAGTGATCGAGTTAATGAAACCTGGTAAATAATATTGTAATCAAGAATAAAATATGCCTAATGAAGTGTTATGTTATTAAATGGGATATCTGGTAAGTTTCAGGTTAGGTTTGGGAATGATTAAGTTAAGGTGTTTAGGCTAAGAACAGGGTAGAACTAGGTTAAGGAAAGATTACGGTTAGAAGACCTAGAATGCAGTTAAATTACTCTGTTTATACTCCAATCTAAAAGTGAGAAGTATTTTTGTTACATGTCAGAAAAAGGTTCCCTGTATAACATTTTTTAAATTTTTATTATTATGTTTTCCTTGGGTTCCTAGTGGAACATAGAGCTTCAACTGCACGTCTCCACTTGGTTCTGTCTTCTGCTGTACTTTTCACCTACATCCATGTTAATCTATAGTGTTTCAATTGCTCTTCGCACGATCTCCTCCATGTCACCCTTGGACGTCCTACTCGCCGCTTCCTTTTCGGGTTCCACTCGAGCATTGGCCTGACGCGCGATGTCACCCGGCGGCCTCCTCAGCGAGTGTCCAATCCATCTCCACTTTCTCCTGAATATTTGTTGGGCGATTGGTTCTCGTTTTGTTTGTTCCGATAGCTTCTTGTTTGTGATTCTTTCCGGCCATCTGATCTTCAGTGTATAGAGCGAAGACAGATGTTGATAAAGGTCTGCAACAGGCTGTTGGGAATATTCCTTTTGAACCGCCAAGTTTCTGATCCGTATAGACGAAGAACTGACTTGACGTTTGTATTGAAAATCCGAACTTTGTTGTTGATGCTGAGGAGTGACGAAGATTTCCAGATTGGTTTCAGGTTGATGAGTGTGTTTCTTGCCTTCCCGATTCTCGATTTGACATTCTCGTCCGTTCCTCCTGTAGTTGAGGCAATGCTCCGTAGATAAGTGAATGAAGTAACCTCTTTCAAATCCCTTCCGTTGATGGTGATTGGCGCTGGATGTTGCTGCTTGTTGTTGTTTATTTTCATAACCTCCGTCTTGTTTATGTTCACCTGGAGTCCTGTCTTTGCTGCTTCTTCGGCCAGTTTGTCGGTTTTCGCTTGTAAGTCTTCGATTTTGTGTGACATCAAACATAAATCATCCACGCGCGAAATCCAGGTCTTCTAGGTTCTTCAAGTCGGTCCAGGATATCCCTGTCTCCTTCTCGTTTCCCACTGTCTGATGCATAATCCAGTCCACCACAATTAGGAATATCATTGGTGATAATAAGCACCCTTGTCTGACTCCTGTGTTTACTCCAAACGCTTCGCTGAGTTTTCCGTTGTGGATGACTTGACATGTGCCGTTGTCGTACAGTTGTTGAATAAGGTTGACGAATATTTGGGGTACGCCGTAGTACTCGGGTAGTTTCCAAAATGTGCCTAATGAAGTGTTATGTTATCATTAAATGGCTTTTCTGGTAAGTCTCAGGTTAGGTTTGGGAAAGATTAAGTTAAGGTGTTTAGGCTAAGAACAGGGTAGAAAACTAGGTCAAGGAAAGATTACGGTTAGAAGACCAAGAATGCAGTTAAATTACTCTGTTTATACTCCAATCTAAAAGTGAGAAGTATTTTTGTTACATGTCAGAAAAATGTGCCCTGTGTAACCTTTTTATGTCCTTTAAATTCATTCTTTTCATACGCATAAATCGCCTTGATCATGTGGTTGTTGCATTCTAAGTCATTTGTTCCTTGGTACTTACTGCTGATATCCGGCTATCGACCAAGGGGCGTGTGAGTGTACTGCTCATCAGTCCGCTCCGTCCTCCTTTATGGCTGTGAGACCTGGTCATTGAGACTGGAAGACATGGAAAGACTAGCTGTCTTTGATCATAGGTGTCTGCGTTCTATCTCCCGTGTGAAGTAGTATGATAAGGTGAGCAATATTGAGGTTAGGCATCGAGTGCTAGGTAAGGAGGGGAAATCAATCGACGAGGCTGTGAAATTACATCGACTGAGATGGTTAGGACATGTGTTACGTATGCCTAGTCATCGCCTTCCTCGACGGGCAAAGTTAGCTGATAGAGGGTCAGGCTGGAAAAGAGCTAACGGCGGCCAAACCAAAGCATGACATCAGTCAATGAAATCCACAAAAGTTAGCTTAAGCCACGTAGGAAGGTGTAGACATCCTGTTTTGTTGGGGTCCTCGGGACGGTAAAAACCAATGGTTGAAAACAGTTGGTGACATGGCTCAAAATCGTTCTCATTGGCTGGCGCAGATGCATCCACTCCTTGTGACTTATGATTTCCAATTAAACTGTTTTGTTCTCCGTTATTGCTATTCCTTTGTCTCACACCTCTGTTTACTGTCTCTATTATGCATTTCTTCTACTTTCTTCTCTTGCTTTGTGTGCTACAAGGAGTGGAGTGTGGCGACTTGAACTGCCGCACATTGGTGCAAAGTTCTATGTCGAAAACAGACAGACAGACAGACTTACTGCTGCTTTAAGTTTAACTTCGTCGACAGCAAGCCTCTTCAGATTTTTCACTTCCATTAACCATAAAACAATCACATGAAACATAAAGCTTCAGGCGTACATCTTCATTACACTCAGTTTTCTGTCATCACCTCCAGTTAGCTCCATGAATGAATACAAACTATTATCTCCTACTCACATAGTCTTCACCATGTCCCTTTCAAACGATCAGCTGGGGTGTCTTCCAACCTGCTTCCCCTCTTGAGTGTCTGGAGTGTGATGTCATGTGAGGGTCTCATCTCAGCGTATATCCAATTCATCTTCATTTCTTCGCGTATATTTTTCAGTTGATAAATTCTTGACTTATTCTCTCAAGCCATTTGATTTTCAGTATATGTGGAGTGACTCGGCACAGTTGTTTTCAGATCTTATTTTGCATAATTTGCATATTATCGTGTCACTCTACCCTTTCACCTTTTCATCACATAACTTAATTCCATCGGCTTATTAGTGGAAGAAGGCACTGAATTAAGCCAGATTATCGGTATTAGGTGGTTGTAAGCAATCGGCAGGAAGCCTTGGACTTAGGTTTCGTGCTAGTTGGCACTCATCGGTAAAGCGTATCTACAACCTTGAAGGAACTGATGTCCCTTCTGAGATTCGAACCTGCGTCATCCAGTGCTGCAGTCAGAGACGTTACCTAGCATGGTGGCCACATTACAAGCAAGACTGATAGAATTCAGTCTGCACCGAAGATAGGACTAGACACATTACACTAGTTACTGACGAGTGTGCAATCAAAAATAAGCCACATTATCATTAGTGTAAAGATGAAAGGGTAACTGGTATGTTTTTTTTATTAGTAATGTGTAGCTATTATTCGTTTACTTTTATTTCATAGATCAATAGTTATCAATAAAGGAAACTAATATTTCAATATATATATTTATGTATATGTCCAGATTTTGGGTTTTCTGGAGATTTAAATTTATTTCAATATATAAGTTTTGTGACCAAGCAATATCAGTTAGAGAGAGAGAGAGAGTTATTAAAAGCAAAGAAGTACTAGACGTGTGTTTCGTCCTAGTTTGGGACCCTTCATCAGTGAACTCACATGACGTCATCAGGAGTGGAACTATGGACATTCAGGTGACGAGATTAACCCGTTGGATGTGTGAATCAACGACTCTGTGATTCTGCCACCAATCAATGGCTAGCGGTTGTGCTATATCGTGAATTGGCAGAAGTTAGAATTCATGGACTGGTCATTGGATCGGGTCCCAGTGGCTTAATGGTATACGATCTCGCCTTGTAACCGGAAGGTCCTGGGTTCAACCCTCCGTGGTGGGTGCGTACTGTTGAAGAGTCCCAAACGAGTGGGACGAAACGTCTGTCCAGTACTCCAAGGTTTTCTAATGGTCCTCTAACCAATGTCAGCTCATGATGAAATCCTGTAACCAATCAACCAAATTCCTACAAACCAATACTTGAATATCAATGTCACATCCGCCTAACATGGTTGACCCCAATGGCCACAACTTTTTCAACAGAACTTTAAGACATCTATCTTGTAGATCTACTAAGGAGTTGGCGATTAAAATTTTGACTAAGTTGGTATTCAACGTAGTTTCCATCACCGAACTGACGTCATTTAGAGGGCCATTGTATGCATGCTATGGAGTACTTTGAAGCTTTTTGGAAATTACACACTTATAACTTATTCTAAACGTGTTCATTACAAATTAATTGATTTATTTTATGAAACGAGATATTGTTTGTCTGATTATTAGTAAGACAGAATTTCAAGAGGACATAGAAAAAAAATGAAGGTGACAAAAGTACCTTAACCAACCAACCAACAGCAAAAACAATCACCATCAATGCGAGAAATGTAAACGAAGTGACATCCTTCACTTAATTAATCAGTGTCGTGTCAACTACAAACTGCAAAGATCAGAAAAGCGAAACAGTGTAGAAATCTGCTGCACTCAGCATGATGGAAAAGATTCGCATATATTGAACACTAGTTCCAAGTTAGTCCTTCCAGTATGTTGTAGTTCAGGGACTTGAAACATTACAGAAAGCATTTCCAACAGCCTATTGAGGAGACACCCTTCATATACTAAAGATCAGTTGGCCAGAAAAGATCAGCAACAAGAGACTGTGTGTCAAAAAAAAAAAAACCAACCAAGAAACTATCGTCCACCCAACATATATGCAGAAGGAAATGAGGTTAGATTGTGGATATACGCTGAAGAGAGACCTATGAGTGGAATTAACACACCAGACACTCGAGTGTCAGCTGTCTATCTGTTCTCGACATAGAACTTTGCACATATGTGTGGCAGTTCAAGTCGCCACACTCCACTCCTTGTAGCACACAAAGCAAGAGAAGAAAGTAAAAGAAATGCATAGCAGAGACAGAAAACAGAGGTGTGAGACAAATGAATAGTAATAACGAAGAACGATATAGTTTCACTGGAAATCATAAGTCACAAGGAGTGGATGCATCTGAGCCAGCCATTGAGAACGATTTTGAGCCATATCACCAATTGTATCCAGCCATTGGTTTTTACCGTCCCGAGGACCCCAACCAGGAAGTCTACACCTTACTACGTGGCCTAGACTAACTGTTGTAGATTTCATTGACTGGTGAGGCCATGTTTTCGTTTGACCGCCGCTAGGTCTTTTCCAGCCTGACCCTATATCAGCTAACATTGCCCATTGTCGAGGAAGGCGATGGATGGCCAGGCATACGTAACACATGTCATAACCATCTCAGTCGATGTAATTTCACAGCCTCGTCGATTGATTTCTCCTCCTTACCTAGCACTCGACCGATGCCTAACCTCAAAATTGCTCACCTTATTATACCACTTCACACGGGAGATAGAACGCTGACACCTATGATCAAAGACAGCTAAATGGGGAACAAGGAGTTGGGCGTCCAACAATGACATGGAGGAGATGAAACATTTTGAGCAATCATGGAGCTGGCTGAAAAAACCAGCAGTGATCACAGCGAAATAACAATGCTCTGCTAAAGCCCTATGTTCCACTCGAAACTCAAGGGAATTGTATAACAATAGTAATAATAATAATGATAATGCCAATTATAATCACATTCATAACATCACACGGTAGGCCCTCGATGAGTTGGACTCCCGAAGGTGATATGGAGAAGGTTGCATAAAGAGGAGATGAGAGCCTGCAGGCTGGCAGTTGATGACTATGAACCAAAGGTGTGTCACTGAGGCTCTATGTTCCATTGCGTACGCAAGGTATGAATAGTATTCATAAAAATAATAATAATAACAATCACATTCGACTATTTGATGTTTGTATAATAAAATGACAAGTACTGCTATGGTAATACGATTATTCCACAATTCGACTACTGAGTATCTCTGCGGGCAGTGTATATATATATATATATGCATTTTTCAAGGAAATAGAATATATATTATATACACATTCAATGTATATAGATATATAAATCTGGTCAAAGGAAACATGTCGTTGAGATTATATTATTATCTCTTTGATAATGAACACTGTTCATAAGGAGAAATTGAACAGTAGATCTGTATGATTTGATCAAGATTCAATAGATTCTCTTTTGTTTTGTTTTTCTTTCAATGTAGGAAGGTGAAGAGGAGAAACGCAGAAGTAAACTTTATAAAAAGTTAGCAAGTCAAACTAATAAATTTAAAAGCAAAGAAGCGCTGAAAAGACCTGGAATACTTCGTAAATAAATGCATACAAAAAATAAACAAACTTTTATTTTTTTTCATTGTAATTAATTTCCTCTTTTGATATTGTTTAAATGAAATATTTATCATCCATTTTGGCGCGTTTTTTGATTGTTTCTTTGTTTGTTGTTGTTGTTTGCGTTTCCATTAATTTTGTGTTTGAAGTTGTAATTTATACTCATTAGGCAATTCTTTATCTGTATACGGTCGATCACAAAAGTATATTCTGCGTAGACGACAATTTGCATTGACTTTTACACGATTCACTTCCATTAATCGTTGTTTATAACAATATTCTGTTAGCCTTTGTAAATCGAATACAACAGTATTCCAACCAGAATGTAATACTAATGGCATTTTAGTAGTGAATGGTCTAATTGTTGTTGTTCGTGTAAAATTACTAGCACGAAATCGTCTATGAACACCAGTATAATCTTGAATTTCTATTTCAAAGGTAAAATATCTATCCATATTTTTAAATAATAATACAAATATTGGCATACGTATGCCTAATGTTTCTGTTGGACAACTTGGACATTCAATATAAGTAGTTGAAACATTTGTTCCACGGATATCTAATACTAATGAGCGTATATCTGAATCAGAGATACGTCGAATTGTCCCAGATCTTGCACATGTTGCCCAATTTAATAAGGGTTTTTGTCCAACACTATAAAAAATGGATAATAGACCAGATTGATAAGATGATCTATACATAATTTTTTTTTTTTAATTTCTTTATTCCTTTGCTGTTTTTACTTAACTCTGTCTGTCTCTATATATTTTTTATTTTTCACTGCAATAGTATCCTTCTTTTCGTGATTCCATGAATAGTTAGTATTGATCGACTGTAGTATTTTTAAAATAAATCGATCAAGGTCATCAACAGAGTTGACTCATTATGTGAAAATGAATTCATCTTTAATTTCATACTAGTTTAATTTGTTCATTGGATATATCACGCAGTGAAATATATATATATATATATATATAAATTAATATGGAATTATATACTATCACAGTGGTCAAGTTTCTACACATATAACTCAAGCAATAAACAGTAATAAAGCAGGATTCAATGAATTCGCCAAATTTCGGTAGAACTCGTCAGCTGAATACTCTACATACACGGATATATATATATAAACTTTTGAAATTACATTGGGAGATATAAAACTGATAAGTAAACAAACTACATTGAATTAAAAGTCAATCTGAACGAAGAATATTCTTTTCAACAATTTCTCTTCAGGTTCTTACAATTATAAAATATAATATTTGTTGTCGTTACAATAAAGGCCAGTTATGCGGCGGATACATTTTTAACGTAGAATAACAGATTAGTTATGAGGTGTCAAAATAAATAGTCGTATTTGTGTGACAAACGTGCTAGGCTGAATTCGATTACAAAATATTGTAAAACGGGAGACAATGGTGGTGATTAATCATAATAGATTTGTAGAGTGTGGGGTAGGAAAATTGACAAGTCAGTTCAAGGTTATAAAAGGTGTCAGGTGAGTGGCTAGTACAAAGTGGTCTGTGTTAAACAGGAGATAGTAAGACTGCAATTATTATTATTTATTTTTATTATTTTTATTACAGCTTGATGCCACACCGTATTTTCAGTACAAGTATGGAATTTTCAGCATGGATATCGGTAGCCCAAATTTACAGGCCGACCATAGATATCGGGTGTGCGTCGGCAGGGGATCGAACCTCGGACCATGTGCATGGTCGGCGAGAGTCCTAACCACTGTGCCACCGACGCACAATGAGAGGTTTGTAATGAAATAACGAATATGTGAAATGAAACAGGTGGAGGCATATATTGAGAAAAGAGATAATATTACTAATGATAAGTCCGGATACTATAAACGAAAAATTCGATAGTATTGAGAGAATGTTTGCATGAAGGGCATAAATTATGACGAATAATAATAACAATATTAATAATAATAATCGTATTAATAATATTTGTAATCATAAGCAAAGGAAAAAAAAGAGCCAAGAGGGTTAAGGGGAAGGAGCACTCTTTGGGAGAAGAAGAATCATCAATCCAAGTTTGGCCACGGTAGGAACAGAGTCTGGACGTGTTCTTTTTGGATACAAAGTTCCGGTTTAGTCGATCTTATTGCAACAGCTTCAGCTATGTGTAGAAGACGTAAGCGAACTGTACGTGATAACGACTTCGGAATTCGGTATATAACCCTGAAAGCTGTGTTGACATCGATATGATATTATATTTTATAATTGTAAGAACCTGAACAGAAATTTCTGAAAAAAATATTCTTTGTTCAGATTGACTTTTAATTCATAATATGGGAATTTTCCACACTATCAAATCTTATACATTGAATTAGTCATGCAGAAAGACGCCTTTCCGGAAAGGCGATTGTCTACTCGCATGATGGAGCATTTGCCAAAATGGTTGGAAACAGCTGAGTGCAAAGTGCCGAAATCCTCAATAACAATCTTGTGGATTACGGACATGATATCGATGCAGTCAAGTCATTCACTATTGTCAGCAGACAAAGAAAAACAAGAAGATGCTTGCAATTGCAGAGGCTTGTGCAATTCGAGTTTATAAACCAGGTCTCTGTGTACAAAAAGGAGATGGTCGTGACTCTGAATCTACCATGGTAATACGTTGTACTTATTATTCTACCTCTTATTATTATTATTCTTGATTCATTTAAAACTGTCCTTTATCAGTAGCATTATCTTGAATCACTTTAACACTATTATCATTGTTATTGTTATTATAATTGTTACTACTGCTATTACTCTGTTTGCAATTCCTGACATATTCTCTAATGACTAATTGCTTATCTAAGTGATGTAATTGAAGCATAATGCAATTTATCTTAATTTTGATCTCTCATACACTCTCTCCCCTTATCTATTTGAACATGACCTGGAAAACATTCGCACCTGTCTTTCTGCATGACTAATTCAATGTAGTTTGTTTACTTATCAGTCTTATATCTCCCAATGTAATTTCGAAAGTATATGTATATATATCCGTGTATGTAGAGTATTCAGCAGTTGACGAGTTCTACCGAAATTTGATGAATTCATTAAATCCTGCTTTATTAACCTTTATTGCTTGTTTTAAATTCTTATCGGGAGATAAATGTTTTCAATTCTTAAAGAAACATATAACTCATCTGGCAGAGTTCAACAATAGCGGCCCAAGGATGCGAACACACGAGTGACCTTGAGCTGACCAGTCATAAAAATGAGGAATTTTTGCACAAGAACTGACGTATATTTGACTACGTATTGATAACAGTTAGAGAACCACTGAAAACCAGTATAGGAGTACTGGACAGCTGTTTGATCCTAGTTTGGGAATCATTGGCAGTACGCACCCACTGCCATGGCGCGAACCCAGGACCTTCTGGTTACAAGGCCAGCGAGCTCGTATATCATTCAACCACTGGGATCCGATCTAATGGCCAGCCCATAAATTCTAACTTCTACCAATTCTTGATTTAGCGCAACCACCAACCAGTGTCATCGGTGGGAACTCCATCCTCATACTTGACTGAATGGGTGTCACTGGTCACGACTTCCCACTAGTACTCCAGGAAACTCTGTCCCGTAGCAAGTCACTAGCGAGCAGCAGATTAATTTTCAATAGTTTGGTTTCTAAGAATTATATTTGTTCATTTACAAGAAAAAGCATGAAAACACAGTAAATAGGGTATCTTTCTTTGACATGACTTAAAAATACGTCCTAATTATAATGAGGAGTATCAGCTGCTAAGTTACACTAGTTTCTCTACATGTATTCACCGATGTGACTGGAGATGAGTTGCTTTTGTGAACCGTTTATCTTTCTTATCCTCATGTGCAGTCTTCCCTTAAAGCCCTCGGTTGAATTACTATGGTTTGCAGTAACGGGATCGATGACCACTTACCAGGAAAATGTGGATAGTAAAACAAATAAATTACAACAACTGTGACCATGATCCTCACCCTAACCCCAATACTTACCTTAACCCTAATCCTAACCCTAACGAGCTATTAACACATTGTCCAAACAGTACTTAAAAATGTGATCTGGGTGAAATTTGCTTCTTAGTTGGTGAATAGAGTTGGTATTTCAGTTATGATTATAACAGATGCCGTTAGCCAACGACTAGCATGCGTTCAAGGTCATTGGAGCGTTCACACTTCGCCACTCACCTTCTTTACACTTCGTTTTTATGAGAAATCCTTTCCTCTAGATTATTCTGAACACACCCACACATAGTGGAGTTTATCTACAGTTTGAAATAAGCACTTTTCAATGGTTTCAATTCTTACTATATGCATGGAGAATTCTTTATCAATAGTTACTGGTGACTTCAGTTTCTGTGCCTGCTTCGTCCTTGAATCATAATAATAATTTGCTTTATTCCAGAAACAGTACTAGTGGTACAGTGTGGAATTTTCAGCACATATCTACAATATTTGCATCTAATTTTATCAAACATTTAAAAGGAGTATTTCAAAAAATAAATATAAAGACAACAACAACAAAAAACACAAAAATAATTTTTTTTAATGCGAAAAAATACCAAGAAGTAGAAAGGAAAATAAACAGCATATAATAATATCTCAGTATTGGGTAGTGGAAGCTATGATATGATTATGCATGGTGACAGTAAAGCTATAGTCATACAAGAAATTATGAAATGATATTTAAGAATGTTTATCGCCAAGATGATCAGTTAATTTGATTGAAACAACTCTAAACAATCATAAAATAACATTTCAGGGTTGTTGTTTTGTTTTTTATTGTCAGGTCTAATGCAGTGTTTGTAGTGGTAGTGTGAGTAATCCTGCATAATACAAAATTTTAAGATGGTGATAATGGCGTTCACAACCAATGATTGTCAGTTAATATTGCCGAAAAAAGATGAAAAAAAAACAACCACAAAACTAATAATTACATGATGGTTAATGACAGGACAATTTTGTAATACTCATAGTGCTAATAGAGTCGGAACCAGTGGATACACAATAGAAGGAATATAGTAAAGTACAAAAAAGTAAGCCAATGTTAATAATTTAGGTAGCTAAGTATGTTTAAGAAGGTGTTAACTACAGAATACAAAATAAGAGAGAAATAAAAGAGCCTAAAATTATGTTATTAACAACAAAGCAAGTCATAGGTTTCGCGCTTAACATTGTCTCTGTCGCTTAGAACACGGGCCAAGTATGGTATCGTTGAGTTCCTGTACTTGGTTGTACGAGCATATATTATTTTATACTGATTTCTGGTTCTACGTGATGAGATACAAGGCGAGAGTTGGGAATAGAGGGGGTGTTGGGGGTCGGAGAGTATGGTTTTAGACCATTTTTCGCATGTATTCAGATGCCTTTCAACTAATGTAGTGACGAGCTGACTGAGTTTTACACCACTAGTCCTACTAACTACCTTCAACATCCTTCTCAGGATGGTATAGTCCTTTTTCAGTAGCCCAGGAAAGATTAACGGGGAGCAGTAAAGTAGAATAGGTAAGATACAAGAGTTGACAAATTGTGAAAGTAGAGGTTGGGTGATTCCAGATTGTCTTAGTTTCTTAATGTAGTAGGTTAGACAGAACACTTTCTTAGAAATCGTTAGGATATGAGATGACCAAATAAGGTCGGAAGATAGAAATAGACCGAGGTATTTTGCATTAGACTTAGTTTCAATTTTAGTCCCCTCAATGCTAC